TCACATTGGTGTAACTTGTGATGTTATTTAACTTGCCCAAGCTGTTTCTTCTCCACCAAAGCCCATTGCAGAGGCTGGAGACTAAACACCCTCAGTTATTTTGTCTGCTTCTATTACAGTTTTTTTCTTCTTTTCTCCATTTCTTGCTTGTATCGCTTCTTTTTTGCTCATTAGAGACTTAGTAAGGCAGTTGAGTCCATAAGTCTTTTGGTCTTGCTTGCAGTGTAATGCACACAGTGTTGTAAGTGCTGTCTCCTCTTTCTGTGTTCTTTATAAGTTCCCTCATTCTATAAGAAAAAAGCCAAAACACATCCAGTCTTTGGAAGGAACCATGTTTGATTAAACAGATTAGCAAACGGAGGAGTTCCACTGGACAGCTTTGTTATCTGCCTTTGATCAAGTTACGCAATCTCTTCTGTTTTCACAGACGATTTCAAGATTGGCAATTGTGTTTTGTCACTCCGATAACAGTGTAACCCCCCACTTCTCTAATTTAGCCGTATTTTGTATTGGTGTTTCTATAGTGCTGCACTGTTGAGCTGAAATGCCCTTCTATAGCTCTGAACTGTTGTAAAGCTGGGCATATTCATGAATCATTTTGCAGAGTGGCTGCAGGAAATGCATAGACAGAACATTTGCAGTTGCAGAAATAAGCCAATTGTGTTAAGCAGTTGGAAAAATGTAGTGTTTTTTTTTTTTTAACTCTTTGCCTCTGGTCTGATTGGTCATTTTGAAGTGCACAGCTTTTAAAAATGTTCAGGAAAAAGCAGTATTTTACTGCCATCAAAGACTGGGTATGGTAACATGCCTACATGGCTTTGGAACAACTAACAGAATCCCCAGCAGGAATAAATTAATTTTAATACCACGCATGGGTCATAAGGAAAGTTATAGATAATGAAGAGAGTTAGAAAATTCCAACCATGTTTTAAGACAAAAAAGTGGAATAAGATGCTTGTGTTGTCCCAAGAAAAATTAGGGCAGAAGAGACTGGTCTTCTGAATGTCCTCATTCCATTTGATTCAGGATGACTAAGTGGAATTACAGAAAAGAGCAAATAAATGCCTTGTGTGGAGCTCGGAGATCTGGCAGTGTCACTGCAAAGCCATCTCATATCATGTTTAAAAGGTCAGAACAGTCCGGGTTTATTGTTATTATTAATATTTATTTTAAAATAAATTTTATTTTTAAGTTTTATTCTTGAGAGAGAGAAGGGAAACGTGACTCCAAATCTTCAATAAGGCCTTTCAACAAAGATGTCGTATGAACCCTTAGCAGAGGTAAAAATGTGGCAAAACATCTCCAGAAGAGTTGTTGGGTCCCTTCGGAGCAAGCAGGGTGGGTGCAGGTTCTTAGAAGTATGTGATGTGGGTAGTCCAGACAGAGGACTTGGAACTATTCAGGGTACTGCTAGGGGGAATTCATCCAGAGTCAGTCCTGAAGAGTAAAGGTGCCTGGGAAGGCTGGGTGCTCCTCAAGAAGGGAGTCGTAGGAGGAGGCTGCCCCCCCCTGCCACAGGCCAATATGGATGAACAGGGAGCTTTTCCTGAGGCTCCAGGAGAAAAAGAGGGTCTACCTCCTGTGGAAGAAGGGATGGGAAACTTGGAAGGAGAACACAAAGAAGTCATTAGGATGTGGAGGGAGAAAATCAGGATCAGGCCCAGCCAGCATGGATGTGTGAAAGACAGGTCCTGCTTGACCAACCTGATGTCTTTCTGTTACTGGGTGACCAGCCTGGTGGATGAGGGAAAAGATATTGATGTAGTCTACCTAGACTTCAGCAAAGCCTTTGACACTGTCTCCCACAGTATTCACCTGGGGAAGTTGACAGACCTGTCCTGAGAAGGTACACTCTTTGCTAGATAAAGAACTGGCTGGAGGGCTTAGAATGGATAATGGTTGTGAATGAAGTTAGATCCAGCTGGCAACTGGTCACGAGTGGTGTTGGGTTGGTATTGGGGCCTTCCCTGTTCAGTGTTTTTATTGATGACCTGGATAAGGGGATTAAATGCACTTTCAGTAAATTTATAGATGATGCCAAGTTGGCAGAAAGTGTTGATCTGCATGGGGATAAGATGGCAGAGGGATCTGGATAGGCTGGATCACTAGGCTGAGGCCAAAGGGATGAAGTTCAACAAGACCAAGTGCCAGGTCCTGTACTTCAGTCACAATTCCAGGCAAATCTACAGGTTTGGAGCAGAGTGACTGGCAAACAGTGTAGAAGAAATGGACCTGGGGGTGTTGGTCAGTGGTCAGCTGAACATGAGACAGCAGTGTGCTCAGGAAGCCAAGAAGGCCAATGGCATCCTGGCTTGTATCACAAATAACGCAGCCAGCAGGAGCAGGGAGGTGATCGTCTCCCTGTGCTCAGCTCTGGTGAGGCCAGACCTCTTGTACTGTGTTCAGTTTTGGGCTCCTCACTACCAGGAAGACACTGAGGCCCTGGAGTGTGTCCAGAGAAGGGAACCAAAGCTAGTGAGAGGACTGGAGCGCGAGTCTTATGAGGAGTAGTGAAGTGGGATTATTTAGTCTAGATGAGACCCAGGGGAGATATTATTGCCCTCTACAACTACCTGAAAGGAGATTGTAGTGAGGTGGGGTTGGCCTCTTCTCTCAAGTAACTAGTGATAGGACTAGAGGGAATGGCTTCTAGTTGCTCCAGGAGAAGTTCAGGTTGGATATTAGGAAAAACTTTTGATCCAAAAGAATGATCAGGCACTGGAATAGGCTGCCCAGGGAGGTGGTTGAGCTGCTATCCCTGCAAGTGGTCAAGGAACATGTAGATGTGGTATTAAGGAACATGGTTTTGTGGACAATATTTGTAGTAGGCGGACAGTTGGACTAGACAGTCATAGAGGCCTTTGCCAGCCTTAATCATTTTATGATTCTAAGAAGGAAAATCCAGCAAACTAAAGGACTAAAAACTCGTCATCCTTACCACTGTCCATTGCAATGTTATGGAACAAATCCTCACAGAAGCCATTCCTGAGTACATGAAGAAGATGACTGGGAACAGCCAGCATGGATCTACCAAGAGCATCGCATATCTGACTTGTCTAATTACATTTTGTGATGAGAAGTCTCCCTCAGTAAACAAAGCAAGAGTGATGTCTGATGAATACTTTGCCTTCAGCAAGGACTTTGCGACAACTTCTCTTGGTCTTTTTTAAGTCAGACTGGTGAGATACAGGCTCAGTCAGTGGGTGGAAGCTTGGCTGGCTTGCTGGGCTCCGTGTATTGATCAGAGTCCAGGTGGCAGAGACACCTCTCAGGGATCGATATGAAAGCCAGGACTGTTTAATGGCTTTATTAATGACCTGGGTGATGGGTTGAAGTGCAGTTTGAAATATACAGCTAAGGGGAAAAAAAAAAAAAGAAAAAAAAAGATTATTGTATTTCCTGCAATAGGAAATATACAGAGACAAGGATAATAGGCCTTTGTATAAAGAAGAGGCTTTTGTTTAGAAATTGATTTTGGAGTAAATAACAAAATTGAAGCTGCAGTAAACAAGGGCGATGCTCTTCTGAACTACTGATGATATAGACTATTTAAAATGGAAAAAAAAAAAAGGAAAGAATTTATTGTGGTTACAGTGATCAGGTCAAAATTGCAAAACCATGTTCAAAGCCTAGCCTTCTGACTTGAAGAGTTCACTGACTGTAAGACTAAAAGGAGAACGTGAAGAACTGAGCGACAGATTTCCTGAGTCCAGCCACAGGGACTTTTGCTCACATGAGAACTTTGTCAGTGACACTGTACAAAGTTACATGAAACCATTCAAAATATTCTGGTGGAGTATCTATTGGACAACACTGCTTCCAAATTCTGAGATTTTCTGCCTTCATCTGACCCACCTGCATTATCCACCTTCTACTTAGATACATTAGAATAGGGCACAGTTCAATTTTTTCATCCTTTCCTGGGTGACTGTTGCTAAGTAGACAGATTCAGGAAATAGTCTGTGTTCTCTCTTGGGGACCCTAAGTGTGGCTGTTAATCATTCCCTTGCAACGGGAAAATTATCCCCTCTACTACACCTCCAGGCTTGTCCTTAGGCCCATCAGCCACAGCTATTTAATACTGAAAACCAAACAACAAAGCTGTTGTGAATTGAGCTGTTTCATACTGGTTGGATTTGAAGGGAAGGATTTTCTCTTGGCAATTCCAATCGGAGATACTTTCCATTTGCTGTAAATAGTCAATTTAGACTCCCTCCCTTTCCCCATTTCATTTCAGAGCTGTGTCAGCTAGCTTAGACATGGACCCTTAACTAGCAGACTCCCAGCAGTTCCCAGCCTCAATGACTGACTTTAATGACTTTACACAGCAGGATTTTTGTAAAGTTAGAATCATAGAATTATAGAACCATTTGAGTTGGAAGGGACACTTAAAGGCCATCTGGTTCAACTCCCTTGCAATGAAAAGAGACACCAACAGCTCAATCAGGTGCTCAGAGAACCAACCAGCCTCACCTCGAATGTCTCTGGGGATGGAGCATCCACTGCTCTCTGACAACCTGTTCCAGTGTCTCACCACCCTTATTGTAAAAAACTTTCACCTTATATTCAATCTAAATCTCATCTCTTTTAGTTTGAAACTGTTTCCCCTTCTCCTATCACAGCAGACCCTGCTGAAGACTCTGTCCTCTGCTTTCTCATAGCCCCCATTTAGATGCTGAAAAACTACTATCATATATCTCCCCAGGGCCTTCTTTTCTCCAGACTTTCCAGCCTGAAAGTTGCTCTGAAGCTCAGCAACCATCATTGTAATTTCTGTTTTGTTGTGTCAATTTCCTGCTGCAGTTGTTTGGATGCATTTTATTTCTGGGTTCCTGGAAAGAGTGAAAAAGTGTCTAAGGATAGTCAAGCTGGCAATCTTTCTGCCACTGCAGAACATTCATCATACAACAGGAAAAACAAAAGTGAACTCATGAACTACTAATACTTATGTTGTCAGCAAATTGTGATTTAAGAATTTGTGAATTGACTCCTTGACATCTTTTAGGCGCATGCACAAGCATTTATGGAAGAGCAGGAATAGAAAAATGGTAATTGCTTCATTATATATGTACACAGATCACCTTTTTTGTTTGAAGTCTGAACGTGAGCAACTGTAGTGGTGAAAACTAAAGGTACATTCAGCTCAACACTTCATTTTTTTGTACTGTAACCTGGTAGAAGGATGTGCTCAAGCGTTTGGCAGGCAGCTTCAGAGAGCACCCTGCTGACATTGAGGTCTCTGGCTGGAGGTATGTATAACCTGTATGATAAAGAGCCCTCTTTAGATTTTTCCTTCATGAATTCACACAATCCTTGAAGAATCCCTGTTAAATTGGGTAATAAATATGGACGCCTCCTCTAATATTGATTGTCCATGTTGCTTTTCTCTCATTTTTTAAAGCTGTACTCAATTTTTACACAGTTCCATAACACAAAAATCTCATTCCAGACTGATGAGTTTGGGGCATAACATTCTGTATGTAAAGCTAGAACTGATTTTTCCCCTTCAAGTAATCACCTTAAGTTGTACCACCTTAGGTTTATCTATTTAAAATTCCATCTGCCATTTCCAGAGCCGTTATGACCTCTTTGCACTATCTTTGCAATAATTTCTCCACTACATATAGTCTCCCTTTTTACACATATGTTTTTAGATTTCTACAGGCAAAATACCACAGGCCCAATTTAGTCCCCTGTAGGACTGACTGGTGTCCTGCCACTGTGGAGAACACTGATGATTTAAGAGCTTTAGATGAGGGACTGTGTTGATTCACATCAACTCTTTTTGGTACATAGGTCCATAGATTAATGTACATCCTTTACATAAACTCTGTGCTCTTCTACTTCATTATCTCTTTGCTAATGATTTGATTCAAAGGAAATCTTTTGGCATAGGGCCATAAGGAAGCCTGCTGGCATAGGATCCTTCCCAAGTGTCCCCACCATGAAAACAGATGTTAATAAAAAAAAGGAAGATTTTTCTATTAAAGTATGAGGATCTCTTAATTAAAGATCTTAGGTCTGATTTGACATACTTATTTCACACCAAGACTGGTAAAACATTACCTTACATGTTTTAAATAAAGCTTGAACAAGTCCAACACTTGTAAAACCACAGTGCCTGGCCATTCCTGTTTTTCTCCACAGCCACCTAAAATTCTTTGTTTTAGTATTTAATTTTCCTGCAGAGCCATCACCCATTTTGCCTTGCTTTGTACTGGAAACATAGGAATGTAATCCAAGCAATTTTGATGGAGTTAATTCCAATTTATGTCCTGTGAAGACTGAGTAACTCGATGCATGTAAAATGGTGCACAGAATTTGAATGAAACCTTTGAATTTGACAGATTTTCTCCATCCTAAAAATTGGACTGCAGTCGAACTGAAAAACTGTGAATGTGTGTGGTTAAATAATGCTCAGTGGAAGTCACTGTGGTTTGCAGAACCACTGCTAGAGCTATTTCAGGGTCAGATAACATGGCACGTCTTTGTACAAATTGCAAATACCAATACTGAACAGAATACGATCAAATCAAGGAATGTCACTGCATGATATAAAATTTACAAATAGCTTTTTTCTATATTTCAAGCAGCCTCAGATGATCACACTGTAAATGTGAAAGCCAAATATTCTCTTTTCCAAATATCTTCTTTGCTTTTGGGGCTTGGAGTGTCAGATGGGTAAGGTGGATTTGTTCTATTTCAGGGATCAGTGCAAAGTGTTGTCAGAACAGGTAAATGTGGCAGTGAGTTTTCCAATTAATATGAGTAATAATCGTATCTTGGAGCCTGTGTCCAGTAGATTAGCATTACAGAGACAAATGAGTGGTAATGTGCCAGGGATTTACCAGGCGCATTTCACTCTATGGTGCCTCACAGGTTTATAACAAAAATAGTGTTTACCTCTGTTAGATAACTTCTGGAAAAAAAAAAAAAAAAGATGTCTTTCTATGCTCTCTTTTACACATTTTAAAGCTTGATGAATCATTAGGACTAATCTGGGTTTGAAGGAGACTTTTTATTACCAGCCTTGCTAGTCTGATATATGTTGCAGTTGTAAACAAGGGCATGTGTGCCATAAGATCAGGTTGGAGGAATACATTTCTTTTGGGATTACCATGGAAAAAATCACGTAGCAGTAAAGTCCAATTTGAGTTCTTGTTGTAATACTCTCTATGAGAAAGGAAATATTACCAATAGATGGCACTGTGATTCTATGACTCAGGTGTTATTTATGTTTGCAAAGTGTCGTAATGCTATTTGTATACGATGCTTATTAATTTTAATCTCACTGTGTGACATTTTGGGGAAATTTATATAATTGGTTTATTACTATTACGCTGTTTCTGAGACTCAACATTTTAAGCTATATGTATTTGTCCAAAAAATGCATCCTTTGTCATCAGGAGTGCTATTTTAGAAAAAAAAGAAAGAATGATTGCAATGGCTCATTGTGGGCTGCAGACTACTACAGGGATGGAATTAAATTTCACAACATGTTTTTTGTCTTTGCCAGTTCAGTGAGTGCTTTAACATGACCTTCACTTTCAGCAGATATTATACTATGTACATACATGGGGTGATTAAACCCAACTAAAATTCCAGGCTGGATGTGGCTCTAAGCAGCCTGGTGTAGTAGTTGGCAACCCTGCACATAGCAGGGAGGTTGAAACTTGATGATCATTGTGGTCCTTTTCAACCCATACTATGATTTTATGAAAATTGCTATTTCAGACAAACCTCCAGTTTATAAAACAACTGATGGAATTTGAATATTTTAATCTGCTTTATGAGCAGTGGGATCTGGCAAAACAATAAAGCTTTAGAACACCGTTTTACATTAGCATTTACAAAATACAGCAAACATTTTTCTCTATGTATTTACATAAGCAAAGATACAAGTATTCAAAATAGAATGCATCTCACCATTTGCCAATAATTACATAAGTACAGTGCATGATCAGCTGGATGGGATCGATACTTAGGATGCTTTACCCTGAAGTGTATAAAGTATGCACACCAGCTTAGGAGATACATGGTGAGCTTCATGTCTTTGGGCATTTCTCAGATGCAGTCTCAGCAGTAATAAAATGTAGAACTGCTCGAAAAATTGTCAGTTAAAGCATTTTTCAGATGCAGCAGTTCTGTTAGATGTGGATGTGACAGACTCACTCGTCATGCTTTTCCTGTACAGCAGGGGAAGGCCCTGACCTCTGATCTAGTCAGTGTGAATGTCTCTTTTCTTTTCTTTTCTTCTTCTTTTTTTTTTCCTGGAAATTTTCACAATTTCCATTCTGGTCTGATGCATAATGAAAACACTCACTTTTTTTTTTACAAGATGGAGTTGTTGCTCTGAAGCTGGTCATATCAAACAGTAGTGTTCGTCCCAAGCCTGTCAACAAATTCTGGTTGAAAATGGCTGAACTTTGAGATCTGGCAGCAGTATCATGACTTATCATTGCCATCTCCTGATTAACAGCCTCCTGCAGAACTGGCACGGTGGGTGCTACAAATTCAGACTTGACTCTGTCATCATCCCTAAGGCAAACCACAGAGAAAAAATCTATTAAAATTTTGGTGCGAAGTGGCAGAATCGGTCCTTCCAAAACTGTCAGATATCTTCATAAGGAGCTGGAGATTGTGGTTTTCATTTGCTGCACATTCCTTATTTGCTGCACCTCCTTAGAGAGGTTTCTTGGGCAGAAGCTGCTGCTCTCTCAATAAAGCCATCTATCCGAGTGCTAGCAGTGTTATAATCTCTGGCATCAGATATCCCCGCTTCTAACCAAAAATAAATGTTATGTTGCCTCCAGCTGTTAATTAAAGAAAAACTGTCAAGTCTCTTAGGCCCCAAACACAGGTTTTGTTTTAATAAGTGGGAAAGGATTTCATGTTCAGAGTTCTAATGAAACATCAAGCAAGTAATTGAAACCCTTTCTGTTTGCATTGAAACATTCCCTGTCAGTATTTGCAACCTGAGCAATTTCACATTGTGAAAGAGGAACAGAAGGTGAAAGGAAAGAGAGACGGCAGGCTGATTTACACTGCCATGTGGGTGAAATGCAGATGGTAAGCAGAGAGCATCGGCAGTGGATGTGTAATGTTCAGCAGCAGCTTATTAAAAGCAGCTGAGTAGGGGAGACTGTGCTGAGCAGCAACAGGAGATATGGAAGAACTGAGCTGTGGAAAAGTGCAGGGTGCCCGTATACATTTTATGGTACACAGGTCAGCTCTGCTCCCTGACACAGATGGTCAATAGGACAAGGGCTCTCTGTCCCTTACCCTCATTTCTCTTGAAAGGACTTGAAAGAAATGCAACAAAATTGTACAAAAGGTAGCATTTCCCTCCACTTTTACTAGCACCTGTGTTTCCTTTCCCCTCCTTCTCGGGGTATTTTGATCAGTATTCCTCATTTGAAGGCAATCTGGTTTAGTGCCAGATCCGGAGCTTCCTACTCACAGGACTTAGGTTTTATTGCTCCCCACCTTTCCCCTGGAGTTCTCAAGGGTGAATTCTCAAAACCATCTTCCATTTGCAGAGAGGAGATGTCTGGGCACCAGGAGGTTCTGAACACCGTGTTCTGTGGGGTACCCTGGAGTGATGCTGGCTGGATTGTGTAATAAGAGCTGGTGGTTGGCCTTGGCTCAAACCTGCTGATTTAGGGTCTGTATCAAACTCCTTAACAAATACTGTTAAGTGGGTTAACTTAACCCACTGTTCCCACCTGATTCGTAGCTGTCCTTGTGCTCAGCTATGTTTTGCAGATTCCCCATGAAATCCCTTCTCTGCCTGTGTGGAGCTGTGAGCTTGCACTCCTCTTGTTGTGCTATGAAGGAACTGGGAGGGTATAGAGAGGGAGAAACAGTGAGCTGATTTTTCCTTTTGCTAAAGCTCTTTTGCTTTGATTCTGGTGTCCAAATGTTTGCATCAATCATCTTGGTGAGCACAATATATGGTGTACCAGTTGATATGTCACGCGATCCAAAGGTCCCAGTTTTTGGGTAGTAACCATTAATGGCCACATGCCCATGAATGACATGCTGTGACCTATCCCATCCTATCCATATTCTATGGAGGAAACTGTCCCCAAACCCCATCAGATTTAGTTAACTTACTGGTAACAGGTAGAAAAATAATAAAAGTGGCTGCTTGGAAATCAGCCGAACAACCACTCAAGGTCTAAGCCTTCTTTTACCACAGAATTCAATATTTTAAATTGAAGTTCTTTCTTTTCTGAGCCAAACCCTGCCGGATGAATAAGATTCGTTTATCTTCCCTTCTTTACCCTGGTGGATATTTAATTCTTCTACAGAAACTGATGAGCTTCAAGAGAAGGACTTGTTAAATGATGAAGGCATTGGAGTTTGGCTTCTGGATAGGTAGTACTATTTTTACAGATTGGACAGGATCTGAAACTGGAATGCATCCTACTTATGACCGTAAAATTCATGTAATGAATCAAATGCTTGGACTGAAGTTTTGATGCAAAGTTTGTGCTTCTGCTCTCCAGCACAGTCCCACTAACTTTAATTAAAATGTCCACGATGCCTGAAAGTCGTCACACAGCATTATTCCAGAAAATGTATTTGATGTTCTTTTTGCGTTCTGCCCTTGGAGCTGTGTGGGTGAAATATGATGCTGTTGATAAGTCCTGGTATTTTAAAGTGGGCCCAATTTGCCCAAACGTATTTCATTAAGGCTGAGTCCTAGTAGTGCAAGCTACCTATCATTCCTGAGCAATCTACCATAACAGCAAAACAGCGAAACCAGGGAAAAAAAATTTGAACAAGTAAAAGATTTTGAATAATTCTGACTCTATGAGCACAAAAAAGAAATCCAGAAGGACACCTTCATAATGGCCTTTTTAACCAAAGAGAAATGGTGGGAGAGAATCTGCTGAAACCTTTCACTAAAGGATTTTCTCATGCAAAACTTTCACTGACATTATTTAAATCAAGCTCTGCTGGAATCAAGCAGAGGCATGGAATTATTCTTGAAATTACTTAGCAGTCCTGTGCTTGATTTTCCACTCTTCTCTCACTTCACTTCCCTGTCAACAGCAGTGGGAAGGAGCAGAGAATCAAGTCCAATAATGACTTTTGAAAAAATTACTTTCAAGTTTTATGTTAGAACAGATGAATTTTTTAGAATGGAAATAAAGTGCAAGATGTGAAATAGAAGATTACGAATGGTGATAGAAACAAGGGATCATTCAAGTATAATTTACTTCTGAAGACTGCAAATTTGAACTCAGAACAAGTGGCGGAAATGTCCATTAACATTTCAGAATGGTCACTTGGAAGAAAAAAATAGCCATAAAAACAGTTACCAAAATTTCTATATAATTCATCTATACAGGTTTTAATAGATTTTTCTTTAATGCTTTAAAACATATTTTAAATATATATTAGTAAGTTAACCATCATTTTATTTAAAGTTTCATAAAGTGCTCGTTCAGTTAATGATAAGAAAATCCCACTGCAGGAAGATGAACTAGCTGGAGCCTACCCTGCAAGGAAATCAAAGGACAGCTTAGCTTTCATTTGCAAAGAGAGGAGAAATGCGTAGGTTTCTTTGCAGCCCATAATTATAATACCAGAAATTGCATTTTTTTTTTCTTTAAGAAATATATCCCTTATATTATTAAAAAAATAATTTTAATAAAGCCTGTGCTTAAAACAGCCAAAGTACTGTATGAAAAAAAATTGCACATTTAATACCATTCCACCCTGCTTTTCATCAACAGGATAACATGAGGCGTATGTGATGTTACTGGAGGGTCTCTCAGACATGGCTGATTTTCTTGCACTCTCAGAGCATCTCACCACGAGATGAAATTCTCAGTGTATGCTTGGGGTTGTCATGGCAGCTGCCAACAGCTGGTAGAGTCACACGCCGCTGACCTTTTCATTCCCTGGACTGATGCTTCCCTTTGAGGTACCATCCATATGGCGTATTCCGATCTTGACCATCGAATAATCCTTGGTCATCAATTTTGCCTCTTTTTTCAAACTCTTCATTTGAGCCAGGTGGAGCTGGCTAGAATTATACGCAAGCGCTGGGATAGTATTCACTAAAATCAGCTGGAAAGGTTTCTTCTCCTCCTTGTAGCGACACTGAATGTAACGAGAGAAAGCTGAGCGGTAGGTCTTATTGAACAACGTATACACGAGTGGGTTGACGGCTGAAGAAAGGTACCCAATCCAAACAAATATGTTAAGTAGCCCATCAATGACTTCTTCACTGCACGACTCCTTACAGATTACAGCCATCACATTGGTGATGAAAAACGGGCACCACATCACAACAAACAGAAAAAAGACAATGCCAAGGACCTTGGAAGCCTTCTGCTCATTGCTGATGGATTGCATGGTTCTCCTCCCAGAGGTCCCCATGTCCCTGTTCAAAGAGCGCTGGAAGAGTTTCTCTGAAGAAAGGGAGCTCTGAGGGAGGAAACTAAAAGAAGCAAACTTGGTCTTTGGGCCAACGTCATTCACGCACAGCATGGCTTCTTTCTGCAGTGACTTGATAGTTAAAAAATAAGTGACCACCATGATGGTTAGAGGGATGAAGAATGCCGCAAAGGAGCCTATTAGCACAAAATTCTCATCTGCAAGAAGGCAGTGGCCTTTCTTAAACACTTTGGAGTCATCTTGTAGTCCAAAGACAGGGATAGGCATGGAGATACCTGAAGGTGGGTTAGAGAAAGGGAAGGTTAAACACAGAAACAAAAAAATACCATTTTCCAATCTTTAAGAAAAATTAAACAAAACAACCTTAACTGTGCACAGATTATTTCTTAGAGTAATAGTGATAATGTTAAAGAAATAGTAGTTACAGAGCGTAAATGATTGCTAGCAGGTAGAACCATGATTGGCAGACATCCCAAGGCAAACTCATTTTAAACAGGGGCAGGGAAAATTTTGTATTTTAAGTTTTGGTAGCAGCACGATACAACTCCCATCCTTGGGCCACTTTTAATGGGGCCATGCTAAGAAAGGATGCAGTGTGAAATGTTGATCTTGTGGATTCTGAATCTGGTGGTTTGTGCATTCGAGGACCCCAGCAAAGAGGAGCAGGTGAAAAGCAGTAATGGCATTACACAGGATACTGCAGTTACTCTAATCTCCATTCCCTCTCCTGTACACCTAAGCTCATTCACTAGTAGGATACATCTCTTCCACCAGACTGTCACGTAACACCTGGTGGCAATAAAAGCATAAATTCTTATTCTTTGGTCTTGTCCCCTTGCAAAAATCTCCACGCTTGACCTTTGGTCCTACTGCCTTGGCAAAGGCTTCTCTCAGCTGTGATCAAGGTGGTATCCTGTCTTTCTTTTCCAGAGTCAGAGTTAAGAGTTGTCTTATCTCGGACTGTTTTATTGTTATTATTATTATTATTATTGAATGAGGATTAGAAGTGTCCTTAGTACTATGAAATGCTGATTTTAGGAGGAAAGATATATATATATTTTTAGCAGGTCTGAATGTAATCATCTGCTGGGTTATTTTCTTCCCTCCCTGTAATCTCCATACAGTTGACAGTCTAAATGCTAAAAAAACTTTCCATGGCAACAGCCAGAGGAAAGATGGGGACAAATTAAGCACTGAGAGACATGGATATGAGACAGCCTGAGAAGCAGTGCACCCTGCAGAGTGTCAGGATCCCTCTTGGGTACTGCCAGCCATCTACCGCAGGCTGCCCTCTGAAAACACAGCCCCAGGGGCATCGACAGCAGCATGAACCTCATCTTTCCCTGGAGTTTTTGCTGTGTTCTTGCTCTGTAAGGAACAGCAAAGCCAGGTGATGAAGTCCTTTCTCCTCACTCAAGTCCACTCAAACATTTCCTTGGGGACTTCTGCATATGCTGCTAGTGCCCATCTGAAATTGAACAGCTGCTGTTTGTTGTGCATCTGTTTTGTGGTTGTGTTTTTCTTTCCTCCCCTCCCCCCAGATGGATGCTGTCTCTTCAAGAGAGGCAATATTCAGCCAGCAAAAGGATGATGTGACATGAAGACAGCAAAAGTGAAGTTGTGATCGTACAGCCCTGCTTGGACAAAAGCAGCTGGGAGTCCAAATCCTGTGGAAAGTCAGTGTCATTCAGGAGCCCCTCTGCATCTTCATGAGAAACCCTGGGTGTTTGGCTTTTAGGGAAAAAATGAATTAAATATTTTGTGATCTGACTGACATGACAGCATGATACTGTGCCCTCCCTTGTCCCTTATGTGTCCAAGAATGTCCTTTCTGTTTCCCAGATGAGTCCTGACATTCATCTTCACACCACCAGCTCTTAAATGGCACCTGCCTTCTACGTCCCTTCCTCTTCTTCTTCCAACCCCAGTGCACAAACTGAGAGTCCTGTGAAAGCATGAGCTGTCTCTTCATTTCATGCATTAACAGTGCCAACAGATCTCCAATCCTGCAGGAAGGCTCTGCAGTTCAGGCACAACACAAAACAATAATTATAGTAATAATATTAAGCTATTGTTCTGTTCAAATGTTCCATTCTTCTGGGGCTTCTGTAAGGCTCACTCTTTTTCTAAGCAGTGTAGCTTATTTTATCTGCACAGTTTTGCACTGAGTCATGGCAGTGCCTTTGGCCATTTTACAGGAGTACCCTCCTTATCTGCCCAGGGCAGAAACCAACGAAGAGCCTGCGGTATTGCTTTTTCTATTTCTGTTTCAAGGCTGCACAAGCCTACATGCTTGAACTTGAGCTTTGAGAAGGCAACATGTGAGATGCAAACTTGCACTCCCAGGGCGAGGAAAGCTTCAGCAGCTCTGGGAAGCATCTTGCTTAGAAAAGCTGAAGTCTCAAAATCACAGAAACACAGAATTGTAGCAGTTAGAAGGAACCTCTGGAGATCATCAAGTCCAACACCCCTGCTAAAGCGGGTTCCCTACATTAGTTGCCCTTTGGCTGATGGCACCAAGGGAGAGGTCACCTGCAGGTGCCACGCTGCCCAAATAGTTGAAGGTGATGAACACCCCTCAGGAACTGAGGCAAGCTGCAAATCCCCCATTTATTTTATGGGAGGAGATGAAGGGATACTGAAAGCACCATGTTCCTAGCAGTACATCTCAGCTGTGTGGAAATATAATGCTACTCAGAGCAATACCACAGGTTTTCCTTCCATTTCTGCCCAACACAGATAACAGCAGGGCTGGTTTTTTTGTTTTTTTTTTACAGTTCATTCAAGGACCTAGTGTGAGCTGCAGAGATAAAATAAGCAATGATATTGGCAGAGTAAAAAGATGCCTTTCATTACTACGAACCGTATGGTTCAGCTGAATCAAGACTCATGGGAGAAGAGTCAGCAGCACTAGAAAGAGGAATATTTTAGTGTAATTGAAAGTTTTTTCAAGGAAAAGGCCAAAGTCAGTTACAACTCCTCACCCAAAACACTAGGGCAGCAATTCTCCATCTGCTTTGTTTTGCTGTGAGCATGTTCTGAAGAGCTAGAATCTCACATCCAGATTTCTGTCTTAAAAATGCGACTGATTGGAAATGAGCTTCAGCTTGTAGCTGGAGTTTTCATGTCTCCTTGTGATTCCTTCAGGTGCAAAAGAGATGTTCACAGCAGAGCTGTAGCAGTTGCTGATAGCCCTACAGCCCTACAGCCACAGGTAGTTGGCCACTGTGAAATCTGAAAATACCAGAGACACCACAACTTGGTAGCAGGGAGCACTGACAGTTGTAAGCTGTTTTTTGTGTACTTACTAGTCCAGATGAGGGATCCTACAAGTGATATTGTGACATTCTTGTGTGGAATACATTAATTTCCAGCCCGACTTTTTTCATGTCTTTGGGGACTAAGCTTCTTCTTTCCTAAATGAAATAGAGTTTGTGCCTTTTTGATGAGTGGCATGAAAATGGCAAATATGCCCCAGTGAGGACAAAAAAATTCAATGGCAATTGTTCTTAAAGTGTAAATAAAAAGAAACTTCCATGTGCATTCCAAGTTCACCAATCTGAGGGGGTTTTTAAGAGGTATCATATGTGACCATGAATGTCAGCCACATACTACTGAGGTCTGGACAAGATTGAACTCATAGTGCAGACAGAGATAATAAAAGCTCCCAGCCTATGCTTTATTCACGCATTCATTGATAAGTGAAAAATTTATGCTGATTCACCAGTTAACTTCATAATAAAAGGCACAAGGAAGCTCTTGGTACAGAATGGGAGCATCCATTCAAGCTCTGGAGGTACGTTAGCTACTGCATTTCCAGTTAATACTCCCACTTAAATCAGAACATTTTCCTTTGTGGACAAACCCTAAATATTATGTACCTCCAGTATAAGATGATTTATTTATACAACTTGATTTATACAGAGGTGGCTGTTTCAAACTCGATAGACTTTAATAAACCACAAGACAGAACAAAAACAGTGAAGAAGGGTAATAAATCCTGTATTAAAACTCCACCATTTGGGCACAACTTCAGAATGACAAAAGGCTCTTAAGAACACCAAAGGTTGAGAAGTAAAGCAATAGCATCCTTCCTGTTGTTCTCTCCAAAAGCCTGGTAAAACTGACAAAAGTTGATTTAGTGGTACACACTGCTGGCTTGCAAATCTTCAGAGGTGCACAGCAGCCATAAAACCTCTTTAAGTGGACAGCTAAACTAGGTTTGACACTGCCTTGAGCTGCTGAGATTATAAATGAATCAAAGCCAGAATATACAACATGCCCAGAAAACTGACAAACCTGGGCTACCTAGGGTGAAGAGAAGGAGGGGTAGTGAACATACAGTGTCAAGGTTCCATTCATAAAGTCTCCTTCAAGCAGAAACTGTAAGTCATGCTGCGTGTCTCATTTTGATTGATTTGAATATAAATGAGCATTATTACGCACCCTAACAACTGTCCAAGGAGTAGGAAATACCTTTAGAAATGTCACTACAGGACCTCAACAAAAGTCAGTACCTTTGTTCACCCCTGCATGAAAAAGATACGAAACCTTCCCAGCTCAAACTTTAGCAGTTGCATTGATTCAGATGTATCAAGGGCCAAATCCTGCAGCACTGCTTTGGGGCAATGTGGTCATCACATTACTTTTAATATTTGGGACCAGAACAGTCACACAAAATAAGATTTATTTCTTTGATTTACGCGTGGATGTATCTGCTTGCTCCAGGAACAGACCCCAGGGAATGACTTCATGGGGGGACTGTAGGGGAACCATGTCTTCCTCTGCACATCAAGGATGAAAATGTGTCTGGATCTTATATCAGCTACCTGTGCACTTCCATTTACACATTCACAGGAGAGCCACGCAGCCTGGCTTAATGTCTCTGCTTGACACGTGGCACCCAAGGAGGTAATTGTTTCCCTAGACCTGCAAACACTTAGCTGATTTCTGCATGCATCTGAAAGTGCTGTTTCCCAAATGACTCATCTGAAGTCATGACAAACCTTTCACTGTTGCAGTGTCATTGCTGCCCAAATTGTCCCAGACATATTGCTGATAGCATGGTTGTGCAGTTTGCTGGTGGGTGGCAATACAGAAGCAGAAATTTTCGCCAGGGAAAGAATATGTTGAAAAGCTGTGGGTATTTTGGGAATCGCCATGTGAGTCTCCATGTAACTCAGCATGAAAATTCTTCCTTTCTTAGTCAGGGTTCCCAGAATCTCCAGCAGGAACTTCTCCTTGGCAGATACACATGGTGGTGGGGATGGGGATG